TAACTAAGTATTATACCATTTTCCACAGTCTACCTTTTAAACCAGGGATTAGGCACCTTGCTGAATTACAACCATGTAACATTAACCACAGTCTACCTTTTAAACCAGGGATTAGGCACCTTGCTGAATTACAACCATGTAACATTAACCACAGTCTACCTTTTAAACCAGGGATTAGGCACCTTGCTGAATTACAACCATGTAACATTAACCACAGTCTACCTTTTAAACCAGGGATTAGGCACCTTGCTGAATTACAACCATGTAACATTTTCCATAGTCTGATTTTGGTATGTTTTTGTCTGTTTTTGGTATAGTCTAGTTTTAAGATATTTTGGTCTCAGTTTCATATAAACATACATCTATAATTCCTCGTGGTTTTATAACCAAGAGACACCGAGTATGTCACTTACCACATCTTGTATTAGTTTTTTTAAAGCTTCTAGATTTAATGTAAATAATTGTTTTTTTTTAATCGTGTGTACTTCATTGCTACAAATACATATGAATACCAGTTGAATTATTCATGTTTACTTTACTAACAGGATTTGAAATATCTGGTGAAGTGGTTGATGTTGGTAGTGAAGCAGAAATAAGTCCAGGGGAGAGAGTTATTGGCCTTAACAAGGAATCATTTTCAGGTTTTGCTGAAGATTGTATAGTGGAAGAGAAGGTATAATTATAAACCTGAGTTTGATAGATTAGTAGAATGAATGAACTTCCACTGTTATTAAAGTCTAGCTTTTTATAAATATAAATATACAATATAAAGAAATAAAAATAAAATTCTGTTTATGAGGAATTGATATATTAACTTATCTCCTGGCAACAGATTCAGTTATGTTTTTTTATTTTAAGTTTTTTGTAAATCTTCTTGTGATGTTCTTCAGTTGTCGACAATGTAAAGTTAACATCATATTTCTGTGCTGTTTATATTATTTTGGAAAAGTTAAATTTGTACAATAAAATTAGGGGACTGGTGTAAATTTAACTGTTTCAAAAAAAAACTCTTCCTATAAAAAAAAAAGTTAAATGAAAGTGAAACAAATTGCAGGACTTGTGGAGGGTGCCTCAGTCCATGTCTTTTGAGGTGGCTGCTGCACTTGTCGATAGTTACAGTACTGCTTTGTTAGCCTGTCGACGAGCAAACCTGAAACCAGGGTAATGTATGGATATTGTTTATCTTAAATTAAAACATCTTTTAGTGTTACTGATGTCAAATGTAGTTAATATTGTCAAATTAAAACAAGTTTAAAATGATGCTTCTTGAAAGGATTCGTTAAAACCGGTACCGATG